TTTAAATGAACTTGGTAGTAGATATACAAATTCGATAAAATGTCACGTGTATCATCGGGTTAAGTAAAAGCCATCCGTTGATAGTAGTTGATAATATAAACGCATATTAACGTTTATTGAGCATTCAAAGCATCCGAATTTACTGATGCACATAGTCTATTCAAAATGTACAATCCGACGTTAATCTATATGAACAATAGATTATAGATACGGTGAGTTTTACACGTGGCGTCAAACGGTTTTAATTGAAATGCTCAAACGGTTAGGTTAGGTCCGTAATTGTTTCATTCGCCTTTAGCAGACCAACGGTAATTTACGATTGCTGGTAAAAACCGAAACACAACGTTACTAATTAATCGACGGGCCGTTCCATATGTAATTGGCGCCTCGGGGGCTCGTTTAGTCGACACAAAACAATGTGTTAACCTGGAAATTTAAAATGCTCGGTGCACGTCATGCAAACGGACTGTATAAACTGTAATACTGAAGAGTATAGAGCAACGAGTTGCATAAGAATGATGGTCACACCCGGATGAATACCGACGCGCAGGCACGCGGTGGCACACAGCCCTAGATAATTTTTTAACACCATTGTTTTGTTATACATGATGTCTTTACGCGGACGCTATGATAAACACTTTCACTAATTTACATTATCGTCGCGACGGTTTTTGTGACACATCCTGGACGGAAACTTTAATAATAATAGTATAATTACTGATTATGTGCATATGTCGTGCAAAATGATAATAATGCCAAAAATATAATGTATACAAGATCAATTTACGACAATACTTAAAAATTCTATTGAACACTAAGCGATAAAACATAATTAGTATTTGTACTAATAATTGTATTTCTACTTAGATTAGTATGAAAAATAATTATATAACCAGAACTTCCCAAATGAGAAACTAAAAACCTTGACTAGATCAAGTTCTGGACGATTGTAGAAGTATTGAGGAGATTATTCACTATTATAAACGAGTTGTGCGTGAATAGACATTAGAAATGTATATTACTTAGTCGATTCAAAGTCGAAATGGTAAATATACAAAATAGTGCTAGGTAAACCGTCATGTCAACATGCCATATTTTCAACTAATATAACGAGCTGTGACAGTACAAAAAATAGGACGGACCTTATAGAGATTGACGGGTATTGTTAAACAAGAAATACACCAAGGTTGCAATTAACAGCGTTACGAATCTTTAAACTCTTTAAATACAGTTTCGTTTTCAGTTACAGGTGAAGTCTACCTACGTTGAACGTTTCATCGCTATTGATTTGGCATAACCTCAAGTACAAACACAATAATAATTCGTTTTAGAATACCGTTAAAACCTCGACATTTTTACATGCAGGTAAATAAAAATAAACAAATGACAAATTTTCCATTAACGAATAATAGGTGGTTTTCTGTTTTAGAGCACAATTCATATTTTTAGTTTTATGTGGTCAGTGACGCAACTATAACATAGGTTGAAAGGTTACAACAACCTCTCTGAATCCGGTCACCCGGACGGCAAAAAAAAAAACTACATAACAAACGATAAAGACAAGTATCAGATTTCTGCATACAAGTTCGACCGAATGCGTCACGTGACACGTTAAGTATTTACAAAAACAACTAAACTAACTAATAATTAACTTTTATTGTTTTCGGTATTAAAGAAACTATCATTTTAAAACTAATCCAGACTCAAGAATCGAGATACGTGAATTTCGATTGAGCTCGGTCAAATTTTATGATCTGAAAATAACTTAGAATCTTGACATTTGAAAAGGACCAACTATTGATACCGTTAGAAAAGTACAGCATTTAAATGACCGAAAACTGTCGGTTGTACTAAACGGTATTTTATTATGTTTTAAAATTGATCACGAACATCTGCCAAAACGACTATGTCTGTAAACAGTAAAGGGACGACGTCAACGTAATTATATAAAAATTATATTCACCTGTATAATTTGATAATAGTAATTGTATGCGTGGTACAAGTAATGACCATCGCAGCTGTTGTTGTTCGGTCGGGCTGAAAGGAACCTAATACACGCGTTTTCTTATTATCAGACACATCACCAGAGGGTTATGTATAATTTTTTTCTTCTGAAAACATTTGAAGGAGCCGAAAAGAAGGTACACAATACACATCAGTCATCAATATAGCGGCGCCATAGGCTAATCACTAATGGATATTACTTTTTTTTTTGCTAAAAATAACATCTTCGTCTTTACAAACCCGCACTAAATATTTAAATGAGTAAATTTTAGCGATAACTTTATACACATATATGTTATATTATTTTCTAAACATGTTAACCCAATGCCAATTGTACGATGACAGTATGGTTTTCTGTTACAAATGTACCGTGCCACATGGTGCAAACGCCCCGTGTAAAAGCGCATATGTTAGTAATTTAAAAAAAAAAAAAAAAAAAGGCATGTGTCCTCGTGTATTAGCACACACGCGACACAATGATCGAAGGGCTAATCTCTATTGCCGTTTCCGTCCATCTAAGTGAGGCAGCACATGAGTATCACCTAACAGCACACCCTACGACTATTAGGCACCCACAATAAGTAATGTTATACCTACGTCCGTCGCACGTGCTAAGAATTTTTAATATTTTTCATTTTTGAACACTGTACAATAGACGACGGTTTTGTTCGACATCCTCACTTGGGACTCCCTAAATGGTAATACTAGAACTAAATGTTTTCAATAGAATATCGGAGAGAATAAAAGGTGTTGTATAGTGCAGAACACACGCGGATGTCGATTTGCTTGCCTATAACGCACGCTACCCGTCAGAACAACGATTCGAATTGTTATAGCGAAATGTTGTCATAGATTTATAGTGTACAAGTATCTTATTTATTATAACCGCAGGCGCATAGTTTAGGTCGATGAAATACCCAATTTAGTATTTTCATTGAACCTGTTTAGATCAGAATCGATAAGTATAAATAACAAACCTTGTAAACACAATATTTTGAAGAAAAAAACCGAATTGTTTTTATTGTTCAAACCAGATTTTGACATTTCCAAACAAACAACTCCAGAAAAGCTGGATCGGATACTTCATACGTACACAGTTTACTGATGAGAAACCTAATATTGTTGGTTATCCAAGGATTAGGCGAACAGCTGAAAAAGTTCTCTTCTTTTATAACAAAAGCGTTACTATGAAATCGTTAAATTTCGTTTTTACCCAAGAAATAAAAATATCTATTAGCGCTGCCTAAGGATACTATATGGATAGTCGTTTGAACCAAAACACTTTGAAGTGATTTGAGCGGGCACCGGGTATAAAATTAAGACGGATCTCGTTTCCAGTAACAGAGGAACGCGTTCGGGCCGGATATTTTTCATAATTTGTTCGTTTCGAAAGCGGTAAATCAAAGCACAAAATATAAGCTATTTCGTGTCACTTACCTCGTGTATATTAGTAGAAACCACCGTTCGTATCGGACGCGTCGATCGCACTGCCGCGTCAACCCCGAGACAGGAAACCCGAGCGCCGCTGCCGTACCGCCGGCATACAGATGAAGGAGAATAAAAGGATACCCGCCCACCCCCGCCCGGTGTTGTCGGGATTTTGTTGAACGGCGCCAGCCGGTCATAGTTAAGAACAGCCGCACGCATTATCCGAGGGTGCGAGCGATAAGAACACACACATAGGTACACATTGGTATAGGTAGGGAATCCCGTAGCGCTGCAAGAGTCGCGGGTCCTGTATAGTGCCCAGAATCTCTGGCAATTGTAGCTATACCACGGCAACACAAAAAGTTATGGCCATCGTACCTACGGCCTTGGCGAAATACCAGAAAAAAAAAATTACATTCTTCGTGAGTTTTTTTGTCTCCCTGTCAGCAATAGGGTTAGAACACGGTGGAGTAAACATATTTCAGTAATAATTACATTTTTCTTTTACGGTTTAAAATTGTCGTTTTACTTTTCGGTTTGCTTAATAATAAAGAATATTATACGACAAAGTGGCGGAGAACGTTAACCAAGGATCGATATTAGGTCGTACTAACAGACGGTAAACACGAATAGAAGCATTCAAAACTATAATTCCTCTTTTACAGGTAGTTTTTAAATAAATGTTAATGCATTATTTGGTCGGCCGTCATTAGGTGAAGGGGTGGAGAGAAGTCTAAGCCTCGGGACTCGCGCCTGCATACATAATGCTTATATAATTTATTTATTATGTGCCATGTGGTCCTTGCAATACTCAGGACGACTGGTTGTTAGGAAGTATTCGATATTGTAACATTCCGACTGCATGCGAGTAATGACTGGCGTTGAGCGATAAAACAGCGCCGCGTCGTGATTTTACTTAGAATATACAGTATGCAACCTAATATTCACAAGAGCATGTTAGGTTGCGTATTGTCAAACGAATTTGCTTCCGAGACTGGTGAAATTAGTTACACATGTTTTGTGTACGGTATTTTATACGTTATTTTAGATCAAATTATTAAAACAAAACAGCCAATAATTTATTTTCAGTTTCTCTGATAGTTAATTAAAAGTTAGTTAGCTTACCTAAAAGCTAGATCATGAGTGTTCATCTCGTTACACATTTATTGGTTTTTTAAGACTCCACATAAATAAATAAAAAATTATTCATCGATGAATCTTAATGGTAATAGAAATAAAATAAAACAAGTTAATGTAACTTGTAAATGAGTAATGGTTATTTTATTTTTTCGTCTCTTAGATATTGTACTGTTTATACTTATGTTACACTATGTTTACACAATTCTTATACACTAGTATACTTGTAATGTCATTAGGAAATTGCGAGTTTTTTTCCATAATTGTTTTAGTGTAACTAAAATAATTCGAAATCTATTTTATATTTTAAAACTCAATTATGTTTCCTTATTATAAGACTTCTATTATATAGGGGCTAAATGTTGGCATCTAATTTTTAGAACTAAATTCTGCAATAGCGCTACGATTACAAAAATAAGAACAGTACTTACCATAGAAACAAAGTAAAATTTTTCGAAATCTTGCTCTTGCTGCCGAATAGCCGGCAAGCTGTTGGCCAAGTCCGCATGCTGCTCCAATGTGTGCTCCCCTTTGTTGGTTAACCACGATATGACCTGTCACAATGAAAAAAATTACAAAAAAATTAAACAACCAACAAACACTTCCTTGTTGTTCATTATAAGAGAGGTCGTTATTTAAACCGAATTCGCGACCATTAGCGGGTGCTCTGTGAAAGTGTTAAAGGAAAAAATCTTTGACAGTGAATTGGTCCGTTAATGTGTTTTTTTTCTTGTTCCAATGCCCAAGAACGTACATACATACGCACCACACTGTGTTTTTTATTTAATCTACAGTTTCAATTCGCCCATATACGTACTGCCCTCGTTAAATCTACATTAATCGATGGCAGAGATCCTAATGATATTTTATATCATAGAATAACGGTACAGGTGGTGTAATGGTGTAAGTATTTACATGCCAGGAAACTGTAGGCTTGCTTAAAATGACAGGCTCACCAGCTCCCCATCAATCAGGTTTCTAACGAGTGAGTATACAGAATTTTGACGTAAGGGGAAAAAATTCGTGCACACATATTATAATAATTTCGGTTTGGAAGAAATTGTACCTCGTGGGTTTCCGTTTCTAAAGCACGAACTCTGGCCGCCTGAATCAACTTCTTTTTTTTAATCGACAGAAGATCTTCAAGTTGGATTGCAGCTCCTTCGATTTCACAATGAGCTTTCTTTATGTCTTCGAAACTCGACCTAAAAACATCAAAACTAGTTAGTAAAAATACAACTGAGTAAATACATTTTAAGATTACATTTTTTTAAAGACATTATCAAACTCTGAAAGACAAAACACAAGTACAGGAGCCCAAATTTCAAATGACATACGTACACAAAAAGTATACAAACTGAAATATAATAATAAATTTAATGTAAAACTAAAAGTTGAAAAGAAATACTAAGCATATATTAAAAATTGTAGTACTATTTATTATTCTATTTTAAATAATCGAAATGTTCGAATTGATTAAAAAACAGTTGAATTTTTTTAAACCAGAATTTAAAAATAATATTAGAAAAATTAAAAAATAATGTATTCAAATCCGAGTTAGTTCTTACAATATTTTAATAAATACAATTTTAGTCATTTTTTGTGCCAATTAAATTGTATACAAACAATATTATGCTGTAGGTATATATTTTATAGGTTTTAAAATGTATCTTTATGCAAATAAAAATAAATTTAATGATAATGTTGTTTTTTCTTTTGATAGAATTAAACAAAAGATTAAATAATAGTAATACAACAACAACTAAGTCAATATTTTGCTCAATTTAAATTTAAAGTTAATCATATGTGTTGTATATGACTCCATACAAGTCGTATAATAATAATACAAAAAAATACTAATGGCGAATTCAGGTTTATGTGTCTTTGTAAAATAAAAATAACAATGGCTTACATGACAAATCTGTCGTCGTTTAACCATCGCGAATGTTGTTCTAGTACTTCCATACTCCGTCTTGCATCTCGGAGTACATTTTTAGTTTCGTTATCGTCTAGGAATTTTGATATGGCAGTGCGTTCTTGTTGATCATCGCCTATGTACGTTAAGGCCGCAACCAGTCGATTACCGATAACTTGACACGAATAAGTCAGTCTCTCGTATTCCTGCAGTAAAAACGTACATTTAGATTGGACATGTGCGTATAAGCGAGAAAAATCCCTATACACTTCAAACGTAAGTCAAATAAGACAAATTTTTTACTTGTTATTAATAAAACTAAATCACTATTATTTCGTAATGTCTTTCACGTCGTGACTAATAATTAGTGACCACAGATCAGATCCATATAACGTGCCGACGTGCTAATGGTTTAAAGTACTAGGGATCATCGACTAAACGCGATCATTGCTCACCTTGTAGAAATTGACCCATTCGAGTTGGTTGTGTTCGTATGGGCCACCGCAAGACGACGGTATTTGGTTGTCTTCGAAGAACTTTAAAAGACCGTTGTACGAGTTGACGGCGTAACACTATTGATAGAAAAAAATATACATATAATAACAATTAACAACTATAGTTTGTATGGGAACGGGCCGGTGAAACTTTTACTCACTCGAATTTGGCTGTGCTTCAGTGTATTTCCTTCGGAGTGTCGCTTCGTGCAAAAAACTACTTTATCCACTGGGACTTGGTGCTGTGAAAACACAAAAACAAATTAATTGTTACTCACGAATTAGCGTTGGGTTCGATCACGCCGACTTACTTTTATAAAAACCAACACACGATCGACAAAGTCTATGGTAGTGCAACTGCTTTCATGCACCAAAATGGTCAACGAGGAGTTTCTATCGTTTCTATATACGTACAAAAAAACATTCGAAATTAACGTCATTCCTGGCATTTCATATAATATCAAATGATACTGATGACATACATAGATAAAAAACTGATCAATTAAACTACGAGCGTGGCGTGTGTCGCTGTTAGTGTTTTATCGGCATATATAAATATTTTACACCTATATAACACAATGGAGATAGGAGAATTTTCACAGGGAAATTATACATTATTATCAACACTATTGTGATTTGTGATGTGAACCGTTATTACGATAATCGCAGCACAAACAAATTCCTTCACGCAATAAGCAAATTTAGTAACTAAATCAACGATTTGATATTTATAAACCAGATGTGTGTCTATTAAGAATTTAGGTAATTTTTCTCTTGGGCATCTTACGCCTATGAGTTTGAACATTATCTTACCATATGCTTAGACAATTTCCTTCAATGGTTAATTAGAAATGTAATTACATAGCACATTTAATTCTAAAAGATGGAGTAATTGTAAATAAACGGCAAATTACAGTAAATGCAATTTGTGTTAAAGAAGTATATAATTACCAAAAAATAGAGCGTTTTGTAGATAAATTACAGATTAATTAGTTTCGAACAAATTTTACATTTAACTTTTTATAAAAAAATCATTTTTTTAAAGTTAAAAGTTAAATCTGACTTTTGCCCGGAACTTTTTACAGAACTTTAGCTGTTAAGATTAAACATTTTCAATAGCTTTTTCTACACAATTGTTTTACATTTTGCTTTCATTATAGTACCAAATTCTAACAATTACCTAGCGTAAAGTATTATTATAATCAATATTTAAAATTAAATGTATGATTCAATTTATTTAAAAGTACAGTTATCTTTATTTTCGATATGAATTGTGAATAGTTCAGAAGGTATATTATTATATTATTGATCTGTTGTTTTCATTGTTAATCTACATACATTCAACTCTCATCGTGTTTCATTTTTACCTCATGGACAAAACAATAGGATATAAACTAACTAAAATATTATCGAATTTGATCATCTAAATTAGTTGTTGACATGCTAATAATATTAAGTTTAAAAGTTCATTTATGGGAGGCAAACTTCCAAACACCACTATGTTTAAATTATAATATAATGTTAAACCTATATTAGTATATTATAAATATTATAAATCATATAGTATATTATTATATTAATTATCATACATCGAAATGTTTAATTACAAAAAGATAATATATATTTGTCATTTAATTAAAAAAGTATTTTGTTCGCGCAGAAATATATGAGAGATAAAATACTGGTATGTATACAATGTTTTATTTGTTATTAGATGGGTGTTAAAAAAGTATTTTACTACCAGCATTGCAAGTGTAAACAATGCACATTTTACAGTGTAGGTGACGTACAATAAGACATTCAAAAACTAACACTATTTTTAAAGTAATGTATTCTACGAGAAACCTGATAAATCATATGCATTCATTAGTAATACGAGGGAAAAAGCATAATTACTTAATTTGGAAAAAATCAAGAGAAACCGCGGTAGCTAAATTAACATAATAGTAAGCACAAGTGAATAAACTTATTCTTTTGAAAAAATGCGCCATACGGACTAGATTAATTAACGTGAGAAATGAACAGTGGTTAATTATACTATTATAAAACTTCCAAATATAATTTATCGCAGTCGGTCAGAAGTTCACAAATATATTTTATGCACAATAGAGTTGAAAGAATTGAATAGAGACAAACTCTCTTTTGAATGCATTTTGATATCACCATAAAGTATTGAATAAAACGTACACAACACTATAGGCACTGGTCCAAAATGCTCTCGAGGAATTAAGAGGGTACTCGTGTGGCTTAGTATTTTCTTAACAAATCTATGTTTCGACTAAATGTCATTGAAAAAAAAAATAGAAAGCACAGAAACAAAAATTTGCATTTAAAAATATCTTTACTTTCTAGTATTTTAAGCTCTCCAATTATATGGCCGGATTACCGTCAAAGACAATCACACTATATAACGGATAACATCGAATTGAGTCCATCCTACTTTTAGTTATTTGAATTGAGTCCCGTTTCTTATCTTAATATGTTTGAATTGATTACGTAGATAAGATCGTAAGCATAGTCTCCTTTGCTATTATTATGTGAGAATTTGTATGGATTATATTGAATTGAGTCCCAAATAAACAATGAAGTTGGACAGTTTCCCCCCAAAATTTGGTGTGATTTTTCAGCAAGCACTAATCGGACAACTAACAGTAGTGAAAGTTTTCATGCAAAATTGAATGCATTGTTTCACTCAGGACATCCGAATATTTTTATTCTTATTGTCACTCTTCTAGGCATACAGTCAGATACCAATATTAAATTACGAAGCAATGCAACAACAAAAACATTAAACAAAACATTGGAAAAAGAACAATTTTTACGAGAGCAGATTATCAAATATCAAAATAAAAAAATTAGCAGATTTGACTACTTAAAATCTGTTTCATTTAAATTTTTACCAGCAACTATTTAAACTCAGACATTATTTTAATTATTTTTAAAAATTATTAAAATTGATAGTTTTTTTTTGACCATTTATAAACAAGCAAAGCATTTGTAAGCAAGCACACACATTTTTGGGAGACTAATCAGCCAACCTCCACGTGGTGTCTCCTCGATAACGCTAATAGGCTGAAGGGACTCAACTCAAACCACCAAAACAATATTTGGGACTCAATTCAATATCACCGCTATATAACGTTGTACCGGTTCAAGAAACTCAAAAATGTTTTCAATACTCTTTAGCCGGTCGGTTTCTGACCTGGTCTTTGTCAGAGTGATCATCATAGAAAAGATGTCGCACGTTCGTGTTGGCTAATGAGTAAAAATAGGGGTAGGTCACGGACGGACACGACTCGATTACACATAGTTCAGTCGGTTAGGCTGATTGAATTTTGATCGTTTCGACACGGTCATCACATCACTCTATTGTCTTAGTACGGTAAGCCGTTATTATCGTTATTATTATATGGTTCCCGGTGCCAGCCAATGGTGTGAAACGTGTAAGTCACAGTTACAGGGAAGCCAAGGACGAATCGGATTGTACATGTGGCTGTTGTGCCGGTTGACGAAGGTTGCATGTTCTGTTTGTTGGAAACATCATCTCATACGTTTGTTGTACTCAGATATTATGTAGAGCGAGAGTTCAAATAATTTTATATTATGATTCACGAAAAGCACTTTTGTGTTTTTTTTTAGTGTTAAAAAACTGGTAGCTGCATCCGGTAGAAATGTTGTTCTTCGTCAACCAAATGAACCACGCGTGAACCGTATTGCATAATATTAACATGTGTGAAAGAAACGAGGATTGCCGATTGTTATCCGTTACTCACCTATTTCTCAAAGAAGCATAGTACAATATGAGCTCTGCCATGCTGACGTCAGACGTTGAAGTCTCTGAACGCAAGCCAGTCTGACCTTCAGTCCACAATACCACCGCGTTTCCCTGACGATCGGTAGTTCCTGTAATAAAAAAGGCAATATAAGTATCATTTAAAATGAAATAGAGCAGTAGCATGTTGGTGTCATAGTGGAGTCTTATGCTGACGTGTGTGATGTAGTGGTAAAGGCGTTGAACATGGTACCAGAATTTTCGGGTCGGATTCCCGCAAACCGCGAACATTGTCTGCCATAACCACTTTGCTGGATTGGGAGGGGAGGGTGTTAAAACTTAAAACATAATCGAAAAACATGTACGTATCCATAGGTTTTGACTCCATACACAATAAATATATATTAATACAAATAATATACCTATAATCTTTTCCGTCTTAGCCGTAAAGACCAATTTTACAAAAAAAATGAATTTAAAGTTAAATACTTAGTGTTGGTATGTAATAAAATAAAATGTACAACTTTTATCTATTAATTTGCATATTTATAAAGATTCTTTATTGGTAGTTACTTTTTTTTTATTAAAATAAAGTGACCATTTGAAAAAGTTAAAAAGAACACCTGTCTAATTCAACAAAAATGCAAAAAAACAAAATAGTTCTTTAGCCTTTCAGATAAATTATAATACTATGAAGAGTTTGACGATGGTTTTTTTTATTTTACTATATCAAATAATGTAATTATTCGTACTTACGTCGCAAAAAAAAAATATTGCTACGTTGAGGCAGTCTCTTAAAGTAAATGTTTAACAAGAAATATATTTGAATAAACAAATATGTCTATATTATTAACTTTTATGACCACGCAATTGATAGTGCCCGCATACCATTGGATACATAAGTACAAATTTGTTTACGGTTCATTTTTATGGGGGGGCAATAACGTAAGCTACACTGAGTGCGGAAATAGAGTTTAAGTTATATTAAATTCAGCACATTATACCACTACACCACACACGTTGACGTTCGCCCTTAAACGGCAATTTAACGTAATGCGGTTCGCAAACTTGTTTTACGAACACATACAATTAATTAGGAAATCCGAACTTTGGTTATAAAGGATGTAGTTAATTTAATAGAAAAAAGGAAATACCTAGAGGCTTTAAATGGAGGACTAAACTGTCTGGTATTCAAGAAGGTTAGAATTCAGTTAAACAAAGTATACTATTTTGTAAAACGTAATGCATTTGATTTGAAATATTATTTTTTATTAAAAGTAAAAAGTTTAAATACATCCTTGTGTAGAAAATTCTAGAGTGATTTATTTAGTCAATATTCAGTTGGTCTTGATGAGCATCTAGGTCTTAAATACAAAAAAAACTCAATCTTTAGTATTTACAGAAAGTGGAAACCCTAACAATAATATGTTATTTTTACAATCGTTAATCTATTGTGTGCCAACAAAATAATAACTCTTTTGTGACGCTTTAAAGATATCTTTATAATGTATCTCTCCCTGTACTCGGCTTGGACGGCGTTAATGATTATATGGATCTACACGCGTCACGCGTATACACGCATGTACGGTGCATATTTATGAGTTGTGGTCGCGACGGAAGAACTTGTATTTTATATTTTGTAGTTTCCGGTGTTGTCCGGACTGGTTTTTCATCCCGACGCGGCGTGTCATCGACATAAAGCGAACAGCGCCCGAATGCGGGTCTCTATTAGATTAACCCAATTGCTGGCGGAACCCTTTTTTTATTGCAGCCAACAGGATTTAATTAAAGAAAATAGACACACACACGCGAGTTTCGCAGACCAGGCCGACGATGCATTTCAGTGTAGGCAAACGCAACAGTATAATAAGTAATAACTATTACAAACTCTCGGTGTTTCGAAAACGGCCGAGGTTGTTGGCATCGTTGACCGGTCGGTGTATAAAACACGTTTTTCTCGACTCACCTGGAAATTGTACTCCGGACGTGAGAATGTCTTCTGGGATGTCGCGAATCGACTTCGGTACTCGGACGGCCGTAGTCGTCTGACGATTGTGATTCATCATAGCTATAGTCACGTCTGAAACACAAAATCGAAGAAAAAAAATGGTAATCAATTGTGTAATTTATTGCAAAACAAAATTAAACCTAATTACGTAGCCAAACAAATGGATGAAACATTATGAGGCAGTCAAGCATTGGCCTAAACAGAGTTAAGACATAATAGTACAACGACTACAAGATAATAATTATGTATTATTCATTTCGTTTTCCAGCATTTGTTTAATGTCAAAAACACGATAGGTACAGCAATTTCATATCACATGCGATTGCCCCTTATCGTGTGTTATTGCCCAACTAAACAAAGCGCATTTATAAAGTACTCCTGCAACTGGTAATTAAAAGATAATGACGGTAATGTATATTAAATATACATACATATATATTAAAACAATATAAAATATCACTGAAATTACGCTTGTAGTCATAGGTCATATATACTCGAATGAGGAAAACCAAACTGAGATTACCACATACAGTATAATATACTATTTACTCTTACTATATAATATGTACATCTAAATTCAATGTCACACGGAAAAAAATAAGTCCATTCATCCATAGGAGTTCAAAATAGAGAGAAGAATATCAACCCAATATGTGGTCAGTGTTATAGTATTAAAGGGGAAGTGCATTTAGATGGAACTTAAAAACTTCAATCCCAATAAAATTATTAAAGTATGTAGTAGCTCACATTCCTGTTAAGTCTCATAGTCAAGATTAAGGCTAAGCAAAATTAGCATTGCTATAGTTATATGTATGTAGAAATTTATCTTTATTAAAAACAACAAATTTTTTAAAGAATAACTATTTTTTTTGTCTGTTTTATTTTACAAAAGTTTAATACAGTACATGTTGTTAATAAATTAAAAACGATTATTACATTAACTGTTATACTTTTTGCGGTGAGATTCGAAAATTAGGCGGAGGTAGGTGATGATTAATTTTGTGTTGCGGCCAAAAGTTTTTTAGTAGTTTTTTAATAATTGGCCTTAATCGATTTATTGGCAAAACATTCACTTGGTTATTTTGAATCAATTTAACCATTTATTCAAGTTTGTTCGTTGTGAAAACAACACATAATTTAAAAAATTTAACATCCCCATCCCCATCCCTATCCTCATCCCCACCCCTTAACCTCATCCCCATCCTCATAAGAAGGATATATAAGGATAAATTTTCGTTATGGTAAAAAGTGTCGATTTTTCCGTTTATTTGCCAAAGCAAAGACACAAAAATGTCAAAAACCTATATTGACGCCTATATAACTACGGCAGGACTGGGACAAATTGGAAACCCGAGCATTTATACAATTAGGGTCACTAATTACATAAAAACAGGCCTCCTCGATAAAGGATACCTAGAAATAATCAATTTCATGAGCTCGAGTGGCGTAAAATGTTGGTGTCCTAGCAGACGATTACCCTTTTGACCTCCGACCCAGTCCGCCACTGCCTATTACAGTAAATTTAGTATGATAAAATGATAACCTATATCAAATGTATTATCCTTACCCAAGACAATGATTGTCGTCTTTACGATATCAACAACGCATGACGGCTGTACTTATGTGCGACACAGCTTGTATAACAATAACGATTATATCTATAATGCGCGTTTTGTTTCAGGTTCATCAAAACATTAAACATACAGTTTATAAATGCCATTTACGAACAGAATAGAATTTATCACCATAAAAAGTAAATTTATGCTATTCCAGTCTGGTAGGCCACACACACCGACAGCCATCAAAGTCCCAACGCTAAAAAACAAATATGCAGACGGCGCTTGGATCACGAAAATCACACATAAGAACCGTTAGCACGCGTTATATATGAATAACACAACACTATTATAGAAAGTACTATAGCAGTACACACAGAGTGATTCGTTTAACGTAAGGCAATTTCTTTCTTTGAAAATAATTATAATTTTGTCATTTTAATTATCTGTAGACATTTTAGTTTAGTTTCTTTTACAATATTGGACAATAATACATTTTTTTTATCATTTTTGGTAAATTAAAAAGTATAGGACGGAAGGAATTGAAGTATTATTTTTATCAGCACGCGTTACTCAACATCACAATACCACTCGTTAAATTATTATTATTTTTTTAAATTTAAATATATCGTTTATTTGAAAATTTACAATCTATACAAATCTATGTACAATGAGTAAATATGATAATAGAATAATGAATAAAGCATAAACAACTTGAAAGGAAAACTCACATTAGAGTCTTCTGTACATTAATATGTGTATTTACAATCTAGATTAGGTCTCTGCACCAAGATCAAGATCGCTTCAGGCGTCGAGTAGGACTATTTGGAAGAGTCTGAGTGCCGAGCTGGGGGACGAAATTATTAGAGTGGTTGAGTAGCTTACTGTGGTATCTGGAGTAGTACAATGAGGCAACTTCTTTAACAGATTTTATTCTTTATGTAACTGTTTGTTGGTGACAAACCAAGGCGCCTTAGTAATGATGCGCAGGCATATTGATTGAAATGCCTGGATTGTTCTAGTGTTAGATAGCGTAGCTGTAACCCAGAAGAGAACTCCGTAAGACCTTACAACATTTTCAAAAAAGTATTTTTACTATAAGTAGTTAATTGTAATTTGTAGGAGTTGTCATTTAAACTAATTGAGCGCTCTGAAAAAAAAATTAAAACCAGTAAACATTTCCTATTTTTACAATGTTGAAAAATAATATAATTACACATTTTTTTAACCAAAAAAAAAAACTACAAAATTTCAATTATTTTAAAACAAATTTAGTTTCATGCGTTAAATGGATCACCCTGTACATAATCGAATCGCGATAAGATAGCTTTAATTTTTATTCAGGCGTTAACACCGGTGAGTCGTGAATAATTAGTGTTGAGAAAAGCTGTATTTTATTTTGATTTGGTTTATTATAGTATATGTAGGTACACGGCAAATGCATTAACATGGGCTACAAGTCGGGTACCGTATGAATTGCATATAGGTACTGCGATCATTTCTCCAGATAGGACGAGTCGTTCGTATGCGGTATAATAATATTTTATAATTTATTATGGCAATGGAAAATTATTATTATTTATTAATAGTTTCCTTGTATTCGGTCAGATAAAAACCACAGATGATTATCGTTATTATTATTGTTATTATAAGACGTAAAGTTTCCACCAGAAACCATTGATAAGTTAACGTAAATTGTAAAACACGAATAACGTTGGGAAAAATACGCGTCAAACCGTCATATTATATCCGTTTATTTTTCCTATCTGAAAGCGATTAAAGTTTTTGGTAAATAGTTCGACGACAAGTCCAACGCCGAGTGTGATAAGAGAGCCTGTAGTGGGCTCGTCCCCCTTTTTATTTACTATAAACCGAACACGGTACAACTCTGTATCTAAAAACTGATAACGCGTGCGCTCGATGATCCGAGAGTATATCCTTTAAGCCGGTTATGGCACGAACTTATCGAATGTTTTATTACATTGTTTGCACTGAAATTTAATATAGACAGCTAAATATTTATTAAGGTGTATTAGGCAATTTTTTGATAAAACTTGACTAAAGCCTACAGTTGTATACTCATAATTCATAAACATCCATATATATATAACATGAAGTAGTCACTATTTTTTTATGATAAGTTTCTAATTAAATAATGAAATCAGTACTACAGCACCTACAAGTATCTATGATTACTGCAATGCGCCAATAATTATGAAACGGGAACCAATATCGCGAGTTTCTAAGTGGTCAATATTTACAGTTCAATGAATTTTGTACAAATGTTGAATAAAATACACATGCAATAGGTAAACGATATGATAGTACAAAAGTAAATATGTTTGGTTAAAATAATTTAAAAACATCACGTGTACCGAAATTATACATTGTTTTGTTAGACAAATATTTAAAAGGATGCATGGACTTGACTGAATAGCCACGAGTATACCGTGTATGTACATACCGGTATACGATAGAGAGAACCTTTTTCTTTTTTCAATAACAATATTTCTCGTTTCAAAGATTGTCATCAGTCATGTCATTTTCAATTATTCACATGAGGGTTCTGTATTCGACACACCCTTTCCACACAAAGCGGCCTTCGGGTTTCGACTTCCCGTCGCCGTCATCTCATCAATGAAACTCCCTTGGATACCCGGCCGAACGTTCCGAGGAAAATATAACAAAATATTCTATACAACATGTACTTAAAGAGAAACTGGTTAGGTTTTGAGCTTTGGGCTGCCGGCAGACAAAATGTTGACACAATATTATTGCTGAATTTAACGGTAACGCACAAACTAGTACTCAACGTGAGCGTCGCGCTAGTGTAAAATATGAATCCGATTTACGGCCAAATTGTATGTGTATGTCACCGTGTGTACTATACGAATTAAACCGGGCCAAGGCGACCAAACCATGTACAGAGGAAGTCAATGACGTACACTGACGACAATGACGGGTGTTAAAGGGTCTTTATACCGCAAACACTGTCTAATGCACGAGCGGAAACCCCCCAATAGTAAACATTCGAAGGATAATGAATTGAAAAAACTTGCGGCAGATATATGATGAAAACCGCACAAGGTCGGGTCGAAGAAGATTTGCCAAGACGTTTTACAGTCTTAACTGTCCAGTGTACGAACGGCGCGTCGTGCGAAAGTCCTTTACTATCTTTAATAGATGTTCCTAATTAGACCGGCCTCGTTTGGTGTACACAAAATACATAATATATAAAAACGGCTGTGGTTGACCGGCACGCCAGTTGTCTCCGAGCGGCATCGCTGCCAAGTGTATTACATGTTGCGCAATAATAGACATTCCAGTCCTCCTGAGTATACCCACAACAATAATACACAACCGTAGTCTGTAGATATCCAATAGTGTCTACGCCGTTTCACGCCCATCACGACATATTATTCGCAATGTACTATTCGTGTAAGAAAAATAAAGAAATTACCATTACACGTAGAAATTACCTATGTTTGTTGCACTATACATGTGTTTGCAGTGCTT